TCTCCATGGTCATTGACTACGCCCAGCCCATATATCTACCCACACAGCCAATGGGGTGCAAGGCACATATAATCTCCATGGTCATTGACTACGCCCAGCCCATATATCTACCCACACAGCCAATGGGGTGCAAGGCACATATAATCTCCATGGTCATTGACTACGCCCAGCCCATATATCTACCCACACAGCCAATGGGGTGCAAGGCACATATAATCTCCATGGTCATTGACTACGCCCAGCCCATATATCTACCCACACAGCCAATGGGTGCAAGGCACATATAATCTCCATGGTCATTGACTACGCCCAGCCCATATATCTACCCACACAGCCAATGGGCACATATAATCTCCATGGTCATTGACTACGCCCAGCCCATATATCTGCCCACACATCTAAAGGGGGGGTGCAAGGCACATATAATCTCCATGGTCATTGACTACGCCCAGCCTATCTGACCCACACAGCTCAATGGGTGCAAGGCACATATAATCTCCATGGTCCATTGACTACGCCAGCCCATGCTACCCACCACAGCTAAAGGGGTGCAAGGCACATATAATCTCCCTATGTCATTGGTCATTGACGCTTCATCCCATATATCAGCTCATATCTCCATGGTCATTGACTACGCCCAGCCCATATATCTACAACAGCTAAAGGGGTGTCAGGGACGCTCCATCTCACAGCTCATTGATTTCGCTCCAGCCCCGTCTTTTCCCGCACATCTAAATATATATATAATCTCCCTGGTCATTGACTACGCCCAGCCCATATATCTGCCCACTCAGCTAAAGGGGTGCTGGGGGTGCTAATCTCTCAGCTCATGGACTCTAGGATATTTAAAGGACAAGTTCACCTTTCTTAACATGTTACACCCATATTCGGGGGTGTAACATGTTATGAATGGACCAGCCTCTGCACCCCCCAAATCCCGTTGTGACTGCTAGCGAGAAATCTTGTCCCCCTGATTACTGTCACAAATTTAAAAATAAAAGTGCAGCCGTGCGTTTGTACACTACTCAAACTGAAAGGAAGACTTTGAAAACCCATCAGATCTCAATGGGGAGGAATCTCCTGCTGGATCTCTATACTGACATGGACGGGGGATGGGTGAGGAACGTAAGGACGCCCCATCGTTTGATGGAAATGATCGACCTGCAGAGGACTGAATTCAAAGACACCCCGAAAATCAAAGTGAAGAAATGATGCAGCAGGCGAGTCCATGTTGGTGAAATGTCATTGCAGCAACTCAGAATGGCCCTCAGTAGTCTGTGTGGCCCCCACGTGCTTGTATGCATGCCTGACAACGTCGGGGGAGGGTCCTAATGAGACCACAGATGGTGTCCTGGGGGATTTCCTCCCAGATCTGGACCAGGGCATCACTGAGCTCCTGGACAGTCTGAGGTGCAACCTGGTGGTGAATGGACCGAAACATGACATCCCAGAGGGGTTCTATTGGATTTAAGTCAGGCGAGCGTGGGGGCCATTCAATGGTATCAATTCCTTCATCCTCCAGGAACTGCCTGCATACTCCCCCCCCCCCCCCCCCCCCCCCACATGAGGCCAGGCATTGTGCACCAGGAGGAACCCAGGACCCACTGCACCAGGAGGAACCCAGGACCCCCTGCACTAGAAGGAACCCAGGACTCACTGCACCAGGAGGAACCCAGGACCCCCTGCACCAGGTGGAACCCAGGACCCACCGCACCAGGAGGAACCCAGGACCCACCGCACCAAGAGAAACCCAGGACCCACCGCACCAGGAGGAACCCAGGACCCACCGCACCAGCAGGAACCCAGGACCCACCGCACCAGGAGGAACCCAGGACCCACTGCACCAGCGTAGGGTCTGACAATGGGTCCAAGGATTTCATCCCAATACCTATTGGCAGTCAGGGTGCCATTGTCTAGCCTGTAGAGGTCTGTGTGTCCCTCCATGGAGATGCCTCCCCAGACCATCACTGACCCACCACCAGAACGGTCATGCTGAACCATGTTACAGGCAGCAGAACGTTCTCCACGGCTTCTCCAGACCCTTTCACGTCTGTCACATGTGCTCAGGGTGAACCTGCTCTCATCTGTGAAAAGCACAGGGTGCCAGTGGTGGACCTGCCAATTCTGGTGTTCAATAGCAAATGCCAGTTGAGCTCTATGGTGCCCGGGCAGTGAGCACAGGGCCCACTAGAGGAGGTCGGACCCTCAGGCCACCCTCATGAAGTCTGTTTCTGATTGTTTTTTCAGAGACATTCCCACCAGTGGCCTGCTGGAGGCCATTTTGTAGGGCTCTGGCAGGGCTCATCCTGGTCCTCCTCACACAAAGGAGCAGATACCGGTCCTGCTGATGGGTTAAGGACCTTCTACAGCCCTGTCCAGCCCTCCTAGAGGAACTGCCTGCCTGTCTCCTGGAATCTCCTCCGTGCTCTCGTCTCCTGGAATCTCCTCCATGGTCTTGTCTCCTGGAATCTCCTCCGTGCTCCCGTCTCCTGGAATCTCCTCCGTGCTCTCGTCTCCTGGAATCTCTTCCGTGCTCTCGTCTCCTGGAATCTCCTCCGTGCTCTCGTCTCCTGGAATCTCCTCCGTGCTCTCGTCTCCTGGAATCTCCTCCGTGCTCTTGAGACTGTGCTGGGAGACACAGCAAACCTTCTGGCAATGGCAGGTATTGATGTGCCATCCTGGAGGAGTTGCACTGTCTGTGCCACCTCTGTAGGGTCCAGGTTTGGCCTCATGCGACCAGTAACACTGACTCTAGCCAAATGCAAAACAGTCAGAAAAGATGAGTAGGAAAAAAAATGTCAGTGGCCTCCACCTGTAAAACCATTCCTGTTGTGGGGGTCGTCTCATTGTTGCCCATCTAGTGCACCTGTTGTTCATTTCATGACCACCAAAGCAGCTGAAACTGATGAACAACCCCCCTCTGCGACTTACCTGACCAGATCCATATCCCAGGAGTGTCATGGACTTGATGTTAGACTCGGATTACAAAGTCTTCCTTTAATTTATATTTTACCTTCATACTCCTACCAGGTCAGCAGGTCAAAGTAGGGAAGCAATGGGATCCACATGACTGCCAGGCAGCTAGCATTTTTCAGGGGAGAGGTCAGCCGTGGCAGCTTGAATGCCCTATTAGTAGGAGCTGTACAGACGTAGAAATACTTTTCCTCGATTCGGATGGCACGCTTCCCTCTGACGTCTTGTGTTCCCCATTTCCTGGTTTTCCAGCCGCACGGCTCATGACGTGTCGCAGGCACTGTGCCGCATGCGATCCGTTGTTTCCTGTTGATGTGTTCCCGGTCAGTACATTGCTATAAATACCGGTGACACAGCTGTATGGGGCACAGGGTCATGTCAGGACAAGAACTCTGCTGCTGTGCGATGCCAGCGATTGGTCAATAGCAGAGTGCCAGTACCCCCCCCCCCCCCCCCCCCTGTGGGAATCTTCATTGTCCTCTCGGGGTAGTCCATATCTTATCTGCTCTGTGATGTCTGACATCTTCAGATGTTTATATTGCAGCAATTTTCTCTGGAGGATAAGATTTGTTTTATGGTGCCAAATGCCAATATATCATATAGATAACAGCCAGTTCTGTAGAATATTTCCCATCATGCTCAGCTCTGTCCTATTCAGCACCCGAAAGTGAGAGATCCATGAACCATGAACCTGACAGGACCGCCATGTGAGCATGATGCTGTTATATCTTCATATACAGGAGTCCTATGACAGGAAAATGGACTTCATCAGGGGGGCATATTCCACGTATTCTGCAGTACTGTACACTGAGCAAGCCACATCAGTCTCTGCACCAGAGGAGCTGACACTCTAATGTCCCCTCCCCCACAGCCACATCAATCTCTGCACCAGAGGAGCTGACACTCTAATGTCCCCTCCCCCACAGCCACATCAATCTCTGCACCAGAGGAGCTTACACTCTAATGTCCCCTCCCCCACAGCCACATCAATCTCTGCACCAGAGGAGCTGACACTCTAATGTCCCCTCCCCCACAGCCACATCAATCTCTGCACCAGAGGAGCTTACACTCTAATGTCCCCTCCCCCACAGCCACATCAATCTCTGCACCAGAGGAGCTTACACTCTAATGCCCCCTCCCCCACAGTCACATCAGTCTCTGTACCAGAGGAGCTTACACTCTAATGTCCCCTCCCCCACAGCCACATCTGTCTCTGTACCAGAGGAGCTTACACTCTAATGTCCCCTCCCCCACAGTCCCATCATCTCTGTACCAGAGGAGCTTATACTCTTATCTCCCCTTCCCTCCCCCACGGTCACATCAGTCTCTGTACCAGAGGAGCTTACACTCTAATGTCCCCTCCCCCACAGCCACATCAATCTCTGCACCAGAGGAGCTTACACTCTAATGCCCCCTCCCCCACAGTCACATCAGTCTCTGTACCAGAGGAGCTTACACTCTAATGTCCCCTCCCCCACAGTCACATCAGTCTCTGTACCAGAGGAGCTTACACTCTAATGTCCCCCCACAGTCACATCAGTCTCTGTACCAGAGGAGCTTACACTCTAATGCCCCCTCCCCCACAGTCACATCAGTCTCTGTACCAGAGGAGCTTACACTCTAATGTACCCTCCCCCACAGTCACATCAGTCTCTGTACCAGAGGAGCTTACACTCTAATGTCCCCTCCCCCACAGTCCCATCAGTCTCTGTACCAGAGGAGCTTACACTCTAATGTCCCCTCCCCCACAGTCACACACTATTATTATACATTTATATAGCTCTGACATATACCGCAGTGTACTTCCTGGTTTAACGGCATGCATGGGCGTGCCTCCTGCTTGCCTGACCTGTGTTGTGATTGGACATAGCACGAGTTTGTGACCATGGTGACACTGTACTACTTGTGGGGGGTGATGATGATTTTTTTTTTTAACTCTGATTGCTTCTTGCTTTACACCCATAAAGGCTGTACAATCATTTCTCCTCCTCTCTGGCTGCATTCTTGCAGCCATTGAGAACTACTGAGTGAGCTGTGATTGGTCACAGCTTGTCACATGGTACAAGGCTGTTGTGAATGGCCCTGTACCATGTGATCTTTGTGATCATTCACAGATTTCACATGTAGTAAGCAATGATCTCAGAAGTGACATCTTGCTTACTACTCTGCATGTGTTCACTGATTGGCCAATCAGTGATCACATGATCAGGACCTCACACAGAGGTCCCGTCCGATGATCGTTGTTCCACTGCATCTGGAGGACATAGCGGGCACCGGATCGCGGTGCTGCGTGCTTCCAGGGAGCGCGCACAAGGAGGGGGGCGGGGAGGGCGTTTATAAATGGACACCTGACCCTGCACTGCCACCATCTGGCCGTTTATATACAACGGCCGGAAGGGAGCTGGTTAAAAAAAGTAAAAAAAAAAGGAAATCTAGCATTTATAAGTCATATGTAAGTTGATTGTTATTGAAATGTTTCCATTATTGCACCCCCTGCAATAAAAATGTCACTTTTTTGGTGAGATAATCCCAATGGGAAGTCACGTCTAAAGGGATGCAGACCCTGCCACTTTCCTCAGCAGCAGCTGATCCCATAGAGATTCACTCTGTATGTGGACACAGACAAACAGCTATTTCTTCAGGTGTACAAAAGGTTGGAATCTGCAACAAAAGTGTGTTCCAATCCCTGCAATGTACATCGATCGCCCCCGGGGGGGGGGGGGGGGGGGGGTTGTTTCTCATCAGAAGTGGAGATGCTGTGTAAAGTCGGCGCACATACCGCGGTACTTATAGGATTTGGTGTCCTGTTTGTGCTTTTGATGTTTCAGTATTTATCCCGTAATCCTCCATTTCCTCCGTCTTCGTTTTCCTGTCATAATCGTCTCTTTCTAATCCCGTAGCTGGGAGTGTGACCGCCGCGGCCTGTTCTAGTGTCTTCCAAAAGCTCAGACTTGTAGCCAGGGGCGGGCTGACAACTCACGGGGCCCCCGGGCAATAGGGGATCATGGGGCCCCTGTGTCCTTTCCCAAACTAAAAAAAACCTATGAAAAAGGTACCAGGGGCATCTCATGGGGCCCCCTACTGACCCCGGGCCCTCGGGCAGTGCCCGCGTTACCAAACGGTCAGTCCGCCCCTGGTTGTAGCAGTCTCTTGTCATAAGGCCGATCCCACTTGTTGCAGTTGTGAGTTTGGGCCCCACCATACACGGCTCGGTGGTCTCGTATTCAGCCAATGGGATGGAAAAAAAAAAAATCGAGAGACTCCCCCCAAGACCCCCCCCCCCCCCCCCCCCCCCATATGTGCTGTCAGTCCCCTCTTCTGACTGTTGTATTCAGGGAGACACTGCTGAGCAGTTTTCCATTTGGATCCATTGGGTTTTCAATGGACTTTTCCCAGCTGAGTGGCGCTTACAGGCCCCCCCCCCCCCGCGGTTCTTTTTTTTCCCGAGCCGCCTATGTGGGCCCTTTAAACCATCTTTTTGCTTCTGCAGTCAAATTTTGAGAAAACCTCACTATATGTTGGTGCTCGCTTTTTTTTTTTTTTTCAATTTCCTACCTTTTTTAGTAAGGAGAAGGTGTCACGGCTGATTTTTATAATTTCGTGACCGTCTCACAGCGTTTTGTCCTCACCTCATTAACCGCTTCCCGACCGCATGATAGCAGAAGTACAGCTACAGGGTGGCAGGGCTGTGCAAAATCACCTGTATATATACTTGATTTTGTATTTCTGGGTAGCGCGCTCCTCGGGATGTTACTCACCGCGTCCCGGCTGGAACTCCGTGATCGTCGGTGGAGCTAACGGGAGAGGTCTGTATGTAAACAATAGAGATCACTCCCCTGTCAGCAGGAACAGGCTGCATAGCAGAGCAATACAAAGCAGCTTGTTTCCCTAGTAAAACACACACGGCACGCTTGGTAAAACGGCACGCTTGGTAAAACCGCACATGGCACGCTTGGTAAAAACACACTTGCTTGGTAAAACCGCACGCGGCACGCTTGGTAAAAAACCCGCACGCGGCACGCTTGGTAAAACCGCACGCGGCGCGCTTGGTAAAACCGCACGCGGCGCGCTTGGTAAAAACCGCACACGCTTGGTAAAACGGCACGCTTGGTAAAACCGCACATGGCACGCTTGGTAAAAACACACTTGGCACGCTTGGTAAAAACACACACTTGGCACGCTTGGTAAAAACACACTTGGCACGCTTGGTAAAACCGCACGCGGCACGCTTGGTAAAAACCGCACGCGGCGCGCTTGGTAAAAACCGCACGCGGCGCGCTTGGTAAAAACGCACGGCACGCGCTTGGTAAAAACCGCACACACGGCGCGCTTGGTAAAACCGCACTCGGCGCGCTTGGTAAAACCGCACACACGGCGCGCTTGGTAAAAACCGCACACACGGCACGCTTGGTAAAAACCGCACGCTTGGTAAAAAACGCACGCGGCAGCTTGGTAAAAAACGCACACACGCGGCACGCTTGGTAAAAACTGCACGCGGCACGCTTGGTAAAAACGCACGCGGCACGCTTGATAAAAACGCACGCGACAAGCTTGATAAAACCGCACGCGGCGCGCTTGGTAAAAACGCACACACACGACAAGCTTGATAAAACCGCAGACGGCGCGCTTGGTAAAAATCCACACAGCACGCAGTTAACCCTTTGATCGCCCAGATGTTAACCCCTTCCTGCCCAGTGCCATTAGTACAGTGTCAGTGCTTTTTATTAGCACTGATCACTGTATTGGTGTCACTGGGGATGTCCGTGACACCAAGTCAGTTCCCCCCCCAGTGTCTGCCCGCTGCAGTCCCGCTATAAGTCGCTGATCACCTCCATTACTAGTAAAAAATAAATAAACAAGATTCCAGAATATATATACCAGCATTGGGCAGCACAGTGGCTGAGTGGTTAGCACTTCCGCCTGGCAGTACTCGGGTCATTGGTTCAAATCCCAACCACAGGGACCACCTGCCTGGAGTTTGCATGTTCTCCCTGTGCTTGCGTGGGTTTCCTCCGGGTACTCCGGTTTCCTCCCACACTCCAAAGACATGCTGGTTGGTGAATTGGCTCCTGGGCTCCCGGAGGAAACCCCACACAGGCACAGAGAGAACATGCAAACTCCAGGCAGGTGGTGCCGTGGTTGGGATTTGAACCAGCGACCCGAGTACTGCCAGAGGGAAGTGCTAACCACTCAGCCACTGTGGTCTTTAGGTTTTATGTCAGGCCCGCCCCCTCGGGCACCGCTGCTTACATATTCTTTACTGCCTTCAGCAGCGGCCAATAGAATGTTTGCGATGTGCAGCGTGACATAAAATCCATACCCTGGACCTCGGATGCAGGTCTGACAGTCCTCTCCAGCATTACATATATTGAATATTATGTGTGGCCCTTTGGTGATGTCAGGGGCTGAATCTGAGGCCCCCTTTAGCTCATAAGTTGACAGCCAATGGCATGAGCCCTTAGAAACGATGAACTGGCTTGGCGAATCGGGAGTCCTTTATCAGAACACATTTTTTTCTTTTCTTTTCTGGTTCTCGAAATAGTTTTTTCCATGAATATTATTAACCACTTGTCGATTGGTGAGTAGTAATTTTACTACCGGTCTGCGTCTCCCGTGGGCAGCGCCACGTAACCGTACGTCACGCAGAACTTCCTGGTTTACACAAGCGCATGCGCGCGAAACCCCCCCCCCCCCCCCCCGCCTCTCATGCTGTGGTTGGACGTGCCACGAGTTCATCAGCAGGCTTACAGCAAATGATTTTGGCTGTGAACCTGGTGATTGCAGTGGCCAATCACAGCACAGATCTGTGTGCGTTGGTAAACATACAAGCTAGATTTCCCCCTGCTTACCGTTCAAAGCTGAGATCCAGGAGAAAATCCAGCCAGATCTGTGAATAAAATCAGCACACAGTTAACCCTTTGATTGTCGTCCTGGTCACCCTGCCAGTGTCATTAGTACAGTGACCGTGTACAGTGTTATCACCGATCACTGTAACAGTGTCACTAGTGACGTCAGAAAATGTCAGCGTCCCTCCCAGCCAGTGTCAGTTAGATTGCCCGCCACACTATCACAGTTGCACTGTAAGTTGCTGATCACCACCATTACTAGAATAGTGTCTGTCCATATCATGGTCACAGTCAGAACTATACTAGTGTCCCCAATAGTATAGAGTCCCCAAAAACGCAGGATCAGTCCCGATCACTGCCGGCACTTGCAACATTTATTTTTTTTTTATTTATTTCAGGTACTTATATATCGCCGTTAATTTACGTAGCACTTTACATATATATTGTACATTCACATCAGTCCCCGCCCTCAAGGGGTACAATCTAAGGTTTCTAACTCACATTCATACACATACTAGGGACAATTTAGACCGGAGCCAATTCACCTACCAGCATGTCTTTGGGAGTGTTGGAGGAAACCAGAGTATCCGGAGGAAACCCGCACAGGGAGAACATGCAAACTCCAGGCAGGTGGTGCCATAGTTGGGATTTTTACCCAAGACCACAGTGCTGCTTAGAGGAAGTGCCTGACCACATGTAGCAGAATACATTTTGACCTCAATTTATGTTGAAATATAATTTTATTGGATATGTTTTGTAACAGAAAGTAGAATTTTTTTTTTTTTTTTCAACAAAAAAATTTTTCGGTCTTTTTTTCATTTATATGAAAAAAAAAAAAAATTAAACCCACTGTTGATCAAATACCACCAAAAGAAAGCTCTTTGTGTAAAAAAAGAAAATTGATATAAATATTTGGTTATGGTGTTACATGACCGCGCAATTGCCAGTTAAAGTAGCGCAGTGCTGAATAGCGAAAAAAAGTCTTGGTCGCCTTCCGGAGGCCAAGCGGTTAACCGCCTCCCGCCCGCCATATAAGGAAATGGCTTTTATCAGTTTCTTCCGGTCTCTGGATCAGACTGTTCTCCCCACCCGTCAGAGCATATGATGTCCTCCCATTCTAACTGCGCATGCGTAGCTCCCGGGGCGATCAGCGGTGCATTGTGTCCCTCGGACACAACGGATCACCGATCAACGGAAAGAGCCGAAGATGTCGGCTCGGTCATGTGACTAGCTGTGTCCAATCACAGGTGATCGCATGTAAATAAGGAAATGCCAGTTATCGGCAGTTCTCTCCCCACGAGCCGTCACGCTGACAGGAGAGGAGAGCCGGTAATCGGCATTCCTCGGAGGGGACATCTACACTGATCATCAGGGCACTGATGATCAGTGTAGCCCCATCAGTGCCAGCTGTCAGTGC